ATATATATATATATATATATATATATATATATATATATATATATATATATATATATATGTATATATATATATTGTTCCGAGTTCAGTTCCCCGTCGCGGTAGTCGTAAAAATGCCTGCGTTCCGACTGCTGGCTCACGTCTGATCTCACGGTGAGAATGAGAAATTAAGCACAGGTGCCGCCGTGGCACAAGTGTCAGCGCGCCGAACCGCGGTTTATTAGGAAGGGCATCCAATCAGGCAAAGGTGTCACTGCCATATAAGCTCTTAATACTGAATTGAGAGAGGCGGATTAAATGGCTGAAAAAATATACATATGTGTGTGTGTGTGTGTGTGTGTGTTGTGTGATGTGTGTGTATGTGAGATAAGTAATAAAAAAATTATATGTATGTACATACACTATATCATATACATATGCGTGTGTTTATTATTATTATTATTATTATTATATATATGTATATATATGTATATGTATGTATATATACATAAATATATGTGTATATATATACATATATGCGTGTGTATGTGTGTGTGTATGCGTGTGTATGTGTGTGTGTATGTGTGTGTATGTGTGAGTGTGTGTGTGAGAGAGAGTGTGTGTATGTGTATGTGTATGCGTGTGCGTGTGTGTGTATGGGGGGGGGGGGGTTGTGTGTGTGTGTGTTTGTGTGTGTGTTTTCCCTTCGCCGCATCACACGCCGCCTCCCTCGCGTGAGGAAAATCCTGTTATAAAAGGCCGGCTGCGCGGAGGAGCCTCTGGTCACGTGATCTCTGTTGACGGAGAGGGAGTCACTGCCCATAAAGGCCGATGCGTGATTCGCTGTCATAACCGGCTAGCATTATGGCACTACCCGGGGAAAATCCAATTTCGGATATCTGAACGAATTTCATTGGCCATGAAAGAGATAGCAGAGAATATACGTATTCATTTCGTCTCTGTTGCTTGCGTTTTGCAATCTCGGGCAAATGCAAAGATACAACGATTAAGAATATTACAACGTATTTCGGCACAAAATGGTTATAACATTATTACTTCCACTTGTGCCTATCCGTCTGCTGCTTAACTATTGATCACTTTGTCTTTCACTTGTGCATAATATCAGCCTCGACAAACTTGATCGTAAGATGGGAAATATGATTTACTTGCAAATGGAATTCTATAATGGTTTAAAACACACGCTTCCGGAGATACTCCAGTAGTCGAACAAGCCACTTCGTCATAACATCGTCATTAAAATCCGCCTCAGTGATTGGTAGGTCCCTCGTCTTTTACGCATTGGTTGGTCAGCAAAGCGTGACGTCACACTCCACCCTCGGCAGTAAAGAACCCGCGCCCGACGGACAGGCACTGCACGTTCAGAAGCGCGGAAGCGAGGACGCACTTTCGGTTGGCTGTTCCTGAAATCATTCACAGTGGCGATGCTTGTAGAAGGTAAGGCGGTGCGCGGGGGGAACCGGTCACTGTGCCGGTGCGGAATGCAATGTCTGCCGGGGAAGGGGAAGATGAAGTTTAGTCTGTTCTTGATTGTAAATGTTGATCATTTTCAAACTAATAAGTTCAGCTATTTTGTTTCAAAGAGAATATATATAGCGAAATATCGCGGTTTGCATTATTTTAGTACTATTATCATTAATGTTATTGTCATAATTGCTGTGTTTATCATGATCATTATTATTATCACCCTGGAAAGAGTGGTCATTAATATCATTGTTATGATATCGTCATTTACTTTTCCAGTTCTGTTATCATTATCTCTATTGTTGTTATTGTTGTTGTTGATATTATTATAATCATTATCATTATTATTGTTATTAATATTGTTATTATCATCATTATCATTATTAATATCATTATTAGTATCATCATTATCATATTTATTGTCATCATCATAATAATCATAATCATCATAATTACTTCCTCCTGAAGAGCAAACAGCGCCCGGCCGCGGTGTCACTTGTGCCGTCGCTCGTCTCGGCCGCGCGAGCAGCGTTGCTCACGTCAGGCGGTCTTTACCCCGGCGGGCGTATCGAGCCACGAGCTGCAGAGGAAGCGGTGAAATTTGTTTTCTCATAACATTACAGAAATTACTGTCATCCTGTTTTCTGACAGTCATTCTCGGGAGTGAATTGAGGAAGAACTATTTACTACAATTATGACCTCTTTCGATTATTTGTTTAACAAAGTGACTTCACTGGAAGAGGAAGTCCCATTGGCTCCTGACACAGCTGCTTATATTCCGCGCCCATAGCCATCCATGCCTCTTTCGCGAAAGTTTTCGTCATTCTGCACGAGCCTTGAAGGACGTATCGGCTTCCCGGCTTCATGTAAGAAATATTATTGTTCTTCATTGTGGTAATCCTTGTTGGCGCTAGAGAAAAGCGACTGCGTGTCCGGGGAGAGCAATAAAGCGGCATTTGCTCTCACGGTTTTCGTGCGGAATATCATAATCATCAGAATCTCTCATCCTTACGTTGTTGTTAGAAAAATTTTCAGCCGCACGCCGATTCTCTCTCTTGTTTCTGCCTCTGCCTTTATTGCATCTTCACCCTTTTCTACCTGTTTATATTCTTACCTCACCCACAGTCTTGCACCAGGAGGCAGATAGGAGTCATCGCAATCCGTACAAAAACTGCAGTTGCAACTTCCTTTACAGGTGTTTTGATTAAGGTCGGCGGTTCCTTGCCTCCTACTGACGACCGAAGTATTCTTAAACCTGGGATATACTATCTTGGTTACTGGAATTTTACTCTCTTAGCTCCCCAATACTCCCGCTTCCCCGTTTCTCTAATCTAAACGATGCCACAACTCCGCAAACACCAAGCAACGCCACAATCACCGCCAGTGAGCACCCATCAGCCTCGCGACGCCCCCGAGGCACGCGAGCGGCTCTTCCTGTCACTGTTTCAAGCAGTGAGGCTAGAGGACCTTAGCTCGTCAAGATCAAAATCAGGCTTTCACGGGCAGCATGAAGTTCCCTCGGCATTCTTCTTATCTTCATTTCAATATTTAGACTTTGGGTGAGAGCTGTTCGAATTGCAACAGCCAGATGGCAATGAATGGGACACTGAATGCAACATGTCACCTACGCAGAAACCGCGCATACGTGCGGGAAAAGCAGACACCGACTCGAGGTTAAACACTGATTTAATGACAGAAGTTTAGTATCTACACGCATACATATATATATATATATATATATATATATATATATATATATATATATATATATATATATATATATGTATATGTACACACACACACACACACACACACACACACACACACATACACACACATACACATATATATGTGTATATACACATATACATATATACATATATATATATATATATATATATATATATATATATATATATATATATATATATACATATATATGTATATATACATATATATACATATATATGTGTATGTATATATACACAAATATATATATACATATGTGTATGTATATATACACAAATATATATATACATATATATAAGTCATTTTCTCGGGCTCGAGCCAGCAGTCGAAGCGCAGGCCTTTTTTACAATTGGACTCGGACACTCATGGTCCCGAGTTCAACGTGTGTGTGTGTGTGTGCGTGTGTGTGTGTACGTGTGTGTATTTGTTTATAGTTTATAGATGAATAAATGGCAGAAAGACAGGCAGGTAGACAGACAGAAGGTAATGAACTACCCACCGCATGCACGCGCGTAAGCAGTGTGTGCCTTACTTTGGGTGTATTACTTTGCTTCCTCAGTGCAAATCATCGCACTCAACATTTTTTTTTACCGTAGTTTTGAGGCTCTCAAAGCTCCATGCAATAAATAGGTTAACATGCACATAATTGTGAGAGCTAGATATATTCTCAAAAAAACAAATACCTTAACTTTCGAAGGCAATAAATGTATGGTTGTATGTCATTCTACGATTATAATGTCATTAATAGTTTTTGCATTCGAAAGTTGCCGGCATTGTCTTGTTTAAGAGTTTGCGAAATTTTGCTCCTGTATTTGCGCAGTTTCGCAATGTGCCGCACAGGCGGAAAAGCTGTGACATAAGCGCATAAAAAACGCGGATCACAAAGGGGTAATTTCACCGTAGACGCGCAGCCAGTCCTTGGAATTTCGCCGCGATGCGAGACTCGAGGCAAAGCGACCCATAACGTGAATGTGGAAAGGTACTTCGTGTAGCCTGCAGTAGGCGGATTCCGTGAGGCCGTCTACCGCACGTGAGAGCATCGCCTTCGAGACGCATTAAGAGACTGACTTTCTCCCGCGATCAGAAAAAGACGGAAGATCCCACGCACCCGACGCTCGCTTCCAAGTCAAAACAAAATCGTGAAACTACTTTCTAGCGCCCCCGTCTCCTCGGCGCCGCAACTCGACGCCGTTTTGTTCAAGCAGCCTCAGACTCTCCCGTGGTGGAACGCGGGGAAAGTGCGGGAGCAAGTTGTTTGGCTGTTCGTCATGACAAAACTGTTCATTATGCTCACTGCGCTTTCAGATGCCGTCTCTCACCTAGAGTTAAATTCACCGGCATCTTGTCTTGCTGGTCCCGTACTACAGATTGCGAGACTATCATTGTCCTATTGCATGCTCTTTGTTTATTACGCTCGTTCCATGTTTTTTTTTTATCTTTTAGTATTAATTAAGAATATAAACAAACGCGACGATGCCACAAATGTTGTGTCGCAATGAAAACGAATATCTGTGAAACCAGACGCCACGAAGTCGCCCAATCTCCAGCCTTTGCTGTCTACGCGTGCGTTTTCATCAGCGACCGATATTCTTAAGTTCTACCTGAGTGTGCATGACCTCCTTCGTGTATCTATAACGTTGGCTATTTTGCCTTTCCACGGCCATTACTCTTTCCCCCGATCGTTACCCGGGCTTTCCCCGGTCGCTCTCGTTGCCCCGACCCTCAGCCTGCACCCCTTCCTCCCTGCCTCCCTGCCTGTCTGGCTCATCGGCCGCCCTTCTCCCTCTCCTCAG